CATATAAACGTATGTGTGTGCGTGTCCAACTGAGTGCAGAGCAATTTGCCTCTGTGTAGGTGAGCGAGAGAGAGCGAAACTTGTTTGCTGAGCTGCGCTTACGGACGGCTTATTAGAAAGTTGTTTGACTCTCCCAGAATGCAGGCCGCAATGGAAAAATAAAAACAGTTACCGCAAGACACGAAGCGAGCTTAAATTGTGTGTTAGTTGGTCTGTCTGCGCATTCATTCTCAACACAAAAGCTCTTGCGTGCGCTGAGAGAGCGCCAACGGCACTCTCACTCACTCACTCGGTCGCTCTCGCTCTCTCGCTCTCTTTGCTGTTCTTAGCATTTTATTTTGTTGTTTGTTCATTTTGCTTTCGAACACAAATTCCTGCCACTTTTATTTCAACTTGTTGTTGTTGTTTTTCTCTTTGGCTAATCAAAAAAACTCAAATATACATAAATACACACGTATGTATGTATATATGTATGCACAACATTTGTGCATACACACTACTGACATAGTTTGCGTGTTGCCTAAATATTGTATGCTTATTGTTGTTTTTTTTTTATTTTCTTTTTTTTTTTTAATTTTTCATTTTATATTTAGCTCCACAGTGGCGCAAAACTTAAAACATTTAAATTCTAATTGTATGAGTGCGCGTGTGTGTGTGATGCTCGTATTTTATCAGCAAATCAGCCTGCTGTCAATTTCACTTTTTATTTTATTTCTACGAGCGCAGCTGCGCGTTGTTTTTTAAAACTAAATTTAATTAAATTGTAGTATATGAAATAGTTTCTAGTGGCAGCCGAGCGCGCATACAGCCGGTTGTGTCATTAACCTATAAAAACGTGTTCGCTAAATGCACTCACACACGCACACACACACACATTCACTCAACTAATACTAGTTACGTCGACGTCGACGTGCACGCCGCTGTCGCTGTCGCTGTCCGCTTCAACGGCTAATGCACTTGACGTTGACTAAAGGCAAGAGGCAGAAAAAAATGCCTCTAGCAGCAGCAACGACTGCGCTGTCGACGCTGACGCTTTCTTTGCATTTCTCATTTGATCGCAAATTAATGCCAAGTGTACGAAAATAGCCAAAAATACAGCAAGAAACATACAAAGAATGCACAAATACAGAAGAACATGCAAAATACATGCATGTGCATGTGTGTACATATGTGTGTAGATGTACATACTGTTGTATGCATATGGGCATGGGCGTGTATGTGTATTTGCTGTGCTGGCAAAGCTTTCACAGACTGACGTCACACGCATGTGAGTAACTTTCAAAATGGTTGCCGCTTGCACTTTTCGGCTGTCTAATGAATTTCTCAATGTTTAAGATGAGGTTACGCACACGTGTACATCTGTATATAATGTTAACTATCTGTTATGGTAATTTGAGCACAGTAGCCGATGATCATTTGACTGCAAAGGAGCTGATAATCTTTTCGTATGCAAATTGCAAATGTTTGCATTGCTTTGCCATGACAAATCGTTTGCTGAAAATTTAAAAGAGAAGCCAGCAAAAACAAACTAAAAGTCAAAGTCAGGCGCAACTGTCATGCACTGGCCGAAGCAGCGCCGTCGGCAGCAACGCGCAAGCTTATCAATGTCAAAGTGTTCGAAAGAGACGGCGTAATTACAAGTAGCCAGCAACAACAGCAACTGCCGCTGCAACAACAACAAATCTCTTGTTCATACAAAGTAGACAAAATGTAGTTTGCTTATAGCATGAATACAAATTTGTGCACGCCATGTAAAAACAACAATAACAACAACAACAACAACAACAGCAGCAGCAGCTACTACAGCGGCGGCAACAGCAACAATAGCAGCGCTGTTAATAATGTGAGCGCGCACGCGAGTCCATTTGAATTTGCGGGCGTTTGTGGGAGAGCTGGAGAGCGCGAGAGCAGTTTACGCTCATTAGCTGTTATTTCTGCTGCTGCTGTTGCTGCTGGGTTCGATTCTTGGTGCTTGCATACGAAGTGCGCTTCGGCCGACTGCTCGATCGCGACGTTGATAACTGACGATGGCGGCGCACAAAATCATTGACCTCATTTTTTTCGTCATGCGAATACACACAAACACACACTCTCTCATAACTGTGTGACAAATGAACTGCAGTCGTGTGTGTATGTGTGACTGCAAGACTAAAAACCGTCAACAGACAATGTTGGCGTCGACAGTGACGGCAGCGTCAATTGCTACAGTTATTGTTCTGTATTTTGTTTATCGCTTTAATTTGATGTTGCCATATAAATCGATTGCTTGATTTATTTTTTAATTTGTGCACATTTTGCCTTGCTTTGCTTGTTGCTGTCCTTGACACATAGGATCTTCGTAGCAGCAACAGAATAAGAGCAACCCTAAAAATTATGCTTGCCACCCTAACAGCAAAGCAAAACCCATGCCCGAAATCTAACAAAAGAAATGCAAATAATAAGCTCAAAGCCGGCCAAAAAACAATTGTGCAAAAAGCACGCACACAATTCGCGGCCGCAGCAGCAGCAGAAGCTGATGTCGTTACCGGTAGTTGCTTAGCTGCGCTGTCGGCGTCTGCGTTTGCTTCGCCATCAACGTTAGCATCGGATTGCTTGGATATGCTTGTCTGCAGGGGTAAGGTCATGTACTTGAGTTTACAACGCTTGCAATGGCACGTAAAACTGTGTAGAGAGTGTTTAGAGGGAGAGAGACAGAGCGAGGCAAAGAGAGTCATACATATGCACATTCGACAGCTTTGTCCTTGCGGTCTTTAGAGAGCAACGGCATTTTTTAGTTTTGTCTTTTTTTATTTATTTTTTTTTTTTGGCTGCACCAGTGACCCAAATTTACTCAAAAATAACGAGTTGAGTTCAAAGCCACTTGAAACGACGACGGAGACGGAGGAAGAGGAAGAGGAAGAATAACCATAACAATGCACAGCACAACTGCTTGAGCTGCACTTCACTCACTGTAAAATGAGTGAATGGAAGTGAAAGAGAGGGGAGACGAAGCGGAGTAAAATTTGAGTGTTAAACAAAAACTAATGAGCTTCGAATTTGTAGCCTTACCAGACGTTTGTTAGCCAGCATTTTGAGTAATGTTAAGTTAACAGTTCACCCTACGCTTAGTTAATATCGCTTTTAACTAAATGTTATTTTGCTTAATTTTTAATATACTCTATAAGATGAGCAATCTCAAGTTTAAAGGAATTTCGATCTTAAGACTTTAGAGTTAAACCAATCGAAATCCATAAATATTAGTCATACTGAGCAATTCATAGTTATTTAATTAATTTTCAGTTTGAATATAACTTAAATATAACTTTACAGAGAATAATAGAGAACGTAAAGACAAATACAGATACATATTATATGATCCTCATTCTACTTGTGTATTCATAGCAAGAGTATTTTCATAGCACATAGCTAAAGCCAACTTTTAATAAGTCGCAAATGGAATATACTGGAGAATCATATCGAAATGTTTTAAGCTAAAGTAATCCTTCCGCATCTTTAACGCGGTTTCAGGGCTAAATCTTTAGATGACCTGACCTTGACATGAGAGCGTCGATGTCTGGCTGGATGTTGGCTGGACGGAATAAGGACAAGGGACAATCTGTGTCACATCCGGAAGCTGGAGCAGCAACAGTTGCCCCTGACCTCTGGCCTCCCTGGAAATTGGGTCACAGTGCAGCATGCAAATTGCTCTGCACAAGCTCGGTGACCCGCTTTTGCAGTGCTGCAGTCGCCCAATGCAATGCAGCACGAGGACGTGGACGAGGTCGTCTGCCCGACAGCCGAAGGTCACTCGACGCTCTGACGTCACCAACAATTGGAGTTCGATCGAAGACACGAGCCCAGGAGCCAAGTACCGACTGGGCGGGAGAGAGAGTGAGAGTGAAGGAGAGAGAGAGACTAAGAGAGTGCGTTTGTTTGCTAAATATAGAACAGCTTGAGGTAGGTTCGAGTTACACCACCTTATGGCTGCATATTGTGTGTGTGTGTGTGTGTGTGTGTTGGAGTGTGTGAGTGTCTGTGTGTGTGTGTGTGGTGCAGCCTGCCGTGACGCTGGCTGATAAGTGCGAAGCAAACGCACAAATAAAACGACAACAACACCAATGAATGCACCAGCTCTCCCCTCCCCTCCCCACCCTCACTCTCTCTCTCTCTCTCTCTCTCGCTCACACACTGTTGCTTGGAAAGTCTTTAAGTGCTGTTGATGGTGTTTTCCATCCCTCGTTTTGTGCTCCCTCTGGACTTCGCTTGTTCGTACTCAACACAGCGACACATACACACACACACACACACACACACACGCACGCAGATGCATCAATATATTGTATGTGTTTGTAGGCATAAACAAAAGCAATGAATGCAGCTCGTAAAAAGTGCATCATAAAATATATATATATACCTCTATATATAAATGTATATATAAATGCAATTAAATTTAATTAGTGCAGAGTGCAGCAATGCGACACAGGGGATAAAGGTTGTGAAAGGGGCGTGGTTTGAGCATCTATTAAGAGCACAGCTTTATAAACAATCATCATTAAACAAAACTGAAAGTCCGCACTGAAATTAATGTTAGCCTGTCATTTAAGCCAAATGGAATTCAAGCGTTTTCCAACACTCACAATTGAAAACGCACAGTTTGGTCAATTTACTGACAGTCTATATTCTATAAGACATTTGAATAGCATAATTCACAATTTAACTTAAATTAGTTTATAGCGGAGTTTTCATCACTTCAAATTGAAAATTAGAAGCTAAATTATTTGAATATGTATTTTTATATTTAATATTTAAAATTAAGAAACTATTTAGATTAAAGTTCCATTAAAAATTAATATGCCTATATAAAAAGGCAAGTCTAGTTTTAGAGATTCGCGCCGTACCCCATGTGGTATCTCCTCTATATGAATCCTTCGACCAACCATCGACTGCACTTGATTCATTCATTTTGTGATCTTAAACTATTCGAGCTTATATAGAGTTATTCGTATGGGAAGCCCACTAACCTGATGAAATGGAATTTGCTGAATCACTGCGCGGCGTGTGCTGCATGGCCATGCCCATGGGCACGCCCATGACGCCGACCGCTGCCCCATTGCCCGGATTCGAGCCGAGTCCGTTGGAACTGCCGTTCGTGTGATGAAGCGCGCTCAGGCCCAGGCCGATGGAGGACATGCCGCCGACTGGTGCTGTGCCCCCGCCGCCGGAGCCATTGATGCCGTTCTGTTGCATGTGCAAGCCCGGTGTGGGCGTGGTCGAGTTGATCAAACTGTGGCCATTCTGCTGCAGCTGCTGCATGCCGCTGACCAGGCTGCCCACCATGTGCCCCCCATTCGTGAGGGAGCCCAGGTTCGTGGCGCCTGGCACGTACCCATTGCTATTGTTGTTGTTGTTGCTGCTGCTATTGTTGTTGTTGTTGTTGTTGTTGCTGCTGTTGTTATTGTTGTTGCTGTTGATGGGTATTATGGTGGTCTGTGCGGGCAGCGTGCTGGAGCAGCCGTGCATGGCCAGCGTAATGACGCTCTGCTGCTGCGCAGTGGCATGCCCCAAGGTGTTGCCATAGTGCTGGCCCGCATCGTTGCCGCACAGCCAGCTGCCCTGGTCGCCGTAGTCGGGCGAGTCCAGTGGCGACGGCGACATGCTGAGGCCCGAGGACAGGACGAGGCCATTGCTGGAGGAGGTCACCTCCGAGGAGGACTCCTCGTGGATGCGCAGGAAGCCGCCATTGTTCGACCAGCGTCGTTTCATCATTTGATAGCCGATGGTCGCCGTTGTGCTGCCTTTTTGCTCCAAGCTTGCGTAACACGAAAATCCGATTTTCCCGTGCGGTCCAATGGGTTCCGCTTCTAGTTTTTCGAAATCGTAGTCTATGTACGTTTCTCCGCTTTGACTTTTCGGTATTTTTTCTAGTATTTCTTACGCACTTGCTTGCGCACGAAATACATTTTTATGGCGTGCCACGCCCCGCGTCTTCAGCAAACAAAAGCTGTAAAATTTTCAATTTCAATATAACTAAAAACTCGATTTTTCCTCATCGTTTCTTGTTTGTGCGTCGAAACTCGTTGGGAAAGGTATTCGGAATAGACCAAAAAATACTAGTATTTCCAATTCATTTCATAGCGGTTCAATGTACCCCAGCTCAGCGCTCATGAAATTTTCATTTTCATTTTAATTCAATTGCAAATTTTTCGACTTTTTGCCTTGAACCGCCAAGAACACGGAAAAAATTAAATAACAGCAAAACAAAAAACAAAAAAAATAAAAGAAACGACAAAAAAAAATTAATTTACCTTAGCCTAGAGAAATGCTTCTTGCTCCACCTAATTTCCAAGTGTTTCTATCTATATAGCTATAGCCGGCATCTCCCCTCTCTCTCCCTCTCTCTCTGTTTTTCTCTGGCTCTCATCTTAAGTGAACCAGTTTCTGTGAAGCAGATTGCAACGCTTTGATAAGAAAATTTATTGTCATATGCTTGGCCCATAATTTTATTCGCAAATTTTAATTAATCAAAGTCAGAAAAGTTAAGTTCTGCCATAGGTTTTATTTAGTTGAGCTCGTGGCGAAAGGTTTCTCAGCGCGAGGCTGTTAATGGTCATCGTGTCGGATTTTAATGGATGATTATCGCCTTAATGATGATCCATCACTCAAATCACAATTCCAAATTTTGCGCCTTTTACGCATCATTCGGCTAATCAATTTATTTCCCTGTTTGGAAAGCAAACACTGAAATTCTTATTGGAATTCTGTTTCGAGGCGAGCCCAAGAACTCACAACTTATATATGTACGGGTATACCTATATATTTGTAGGTATATATGTATGTGGAACTTGTTCACTTGTCGCACTTATCTAAATATTTTTATAATCAATTGTTTACACATTCTGTCTATTCAGGTTTCCAACACAAACACGACCTTTACAACAAGAACAACAACAGTTATAAATGTGTTACAAGCCCTGAAAATATTTAGGCTCAACATTGGGCACTCGGAAGTTGCGACAACGGAAAAGGTGAGATATTTCTCCCCTTGATATTCTCCATATAGAAGAACTCGGCCCTCAAATTTTGGACAAGAATAGTCGGATCGGAATTTGTAGGTGACATCAACCTTCAGAAAAGATAAATAACAAATATTTCATAGAAACTTATGCCTAAATCTCTACGTTTGGTAAATGTTAAATTCGACCGAGTTCACAATAAACATATGAGAACAGTAGTCAAATAACAGCGTAAAATATGCCTTCTATGCAATTCTCATAGCAGCTTACATATAACAAATAATTAGTAAGCATCTTTATATTTTATACCGAAATAAATGTCATTTCATATGGGTCAAGATTTTGTAATATTTTTATTTTTTATTGTGCTTACTATTAGAGTTTGTTATTTGAACAACACAACTAATGAATTATAATATGTAGATGTATGTAGATAATAGATGCAATAGATCTTAAATAATCATCTTCATCTTCTTTTAACTTTAAAATAATTGCTCAGCAGTGTAAAATTCACATTTTAGCTAACGAGCTCCTTTCTATGCAATTCTCAAAAAGCTAAATAACCAGTAAACAGGCAACATGAACTAAACTAAACTTTTCTCTGTCTCAAACATATTGAAAATGTTCTATATAAAACACAAATCAATTCGATAATTCATACTTAATCCATTGAATTTACTTGACATTGCCACACATACACACACACAATCTGTAATTTTTCACGCATGCTCATAGATTTACTATACATGTATATATAAGTGTTGGTGATCCAATCATCAATCCACTTAGGCTGTGTCACATATTTCGCTTGACTTAATGAGGTTTCGATGTGGATAGACATTCATAATTACAGTGCTCAGGCATTGTAATGAGGCTAATTAACAGCCTTCAATTAAAGTGAAAGTCGACTAGAGAGTGGAGCAGTCAATAGGCCTGGCCAATAAATTGCAGCTAATGCGTGCAGAATGGTCTACAGCAGCGGCGAGCAGATGAACCCAAATGCAGCTGAATCATTTTCACGGCGAACAACAGGTGATTCATCAGCCTCTGCGTTTGACAGTTGAACTTAAGGCAGAGCTGAAAATATATTTGCCAAGCCGAAACGAATCGCTGCATAAAAAGACCGGCAAGCAAACAGCAACAGCAACAGCAACAACAACAACAACAAAGACAATCAGTGAGTGTTGTTAATAAGCAAAGTGTTGCTGACAACACAACTCTGAAGTTGCCGCACTGATACCCTGTACCAGCTCAAATATTGGGGTAGTCCCACTGAGGAAGGAGAAAATAAAAGTTGAGCCAAAGTCACCAGAGATTGCTTAGCATATAATGAGGAGAATGATAATGAAGTAAAGTTAAGAGAACTGCATTAAATAATAATTACTAATACATATTAATCATTATATATTATTATAATATTAGCCATTCATCTAAGATTATCTATTGATATGCCATATTGGCATCATAGACACGATTATCTATTGATATGCCATATTGGCATCATAGACACCTATATATATATATATATATATATATATATATATATATACATATATACTTGGTAAACAAATCAATATACCCGCCACGCCAGCTGAACAAAAGCCAACAAAAGCGAATGAGCAGTTTTTTGTTCAAAGTGCCAAAACCGGTTTTGTCCACTCACTAGGCAGAGAGATTGCGAGAGGAGAGCGGCGCTGCGAGAGAGCCGTATTGCCATCTCGCTTGCACAGTAGCTTAGAACAAAATCAAAAAGTGGCTAACAACAAAGCGATTCGAAGCTTTTAAGCAAGCCAGAAGAGTGCAGAGAAGGCACAACAGAGTTTAGAGAGAGGGAGAGAGAGACAGAGAAAGAGAGAAAGGCAGCGAAGGGGGTCGAAGGGAGGGCGTGTTTTGGCCGTCACATTACTGAGATTTTGGCCCGCATTAAGAAACGTAAAAAACCTGTCGCCGTCGACGTATCTCGCTCAATATGAACGAACGAACAACAATAACAACAACAACAACAACAACGACAACAACAATAATAAACAGGTTGTTCTCTTCTCTTTTGTTGTTGTTGTTGCTTGTTGTCTACAAAAAAATCTTGACCAGCAGCAGCAGAAGACGCATCCAGTTTACAAACAGCTACAGATATATCTATATATATATACAATATATATATATATATATGTATGTCTGTATGTCTGTGTGTATGTCTATATATACTGTATCTCTCTGTGTGAGTGTGTGATACATAAACGACATTTAAAGCATTTTTATAGCTTTGCGTGCCTCGCTGCTGCTGTTGTTGTTGTTGTTGCTGCTGCTTTTTGCGCATTTTACTTTTAGCTTTTTTCAAGCTAAAACGCAGAGCAAAAGCCAGCCAAGAGGCAAGTGCAAAAAGTCAAAGCGCGCGCAGCCGCAGACGTCTTGCCCTTCTATATATGTATCTACATATGTCTAACTTACTCACTCCTACTCTCTCCCTCTCTCTCTCTCTCCCTAGCGTTCCTTAGTCTCGCTCATTTAACTGGCGCGTAATTGCCGTAAAGTTCTTCTTCTTCTTCTGTTTTTTTTTTTTTTGTCATTTGTCAGCGCTTCTGTTGCGACGCATTGTGAAATTTGTTTTTTTTTTTGTTTGAGTCAATTTGTAACGCGTGTAATGTTGTAGGGCTAGGAGCACAATTTAAGAATGGGAAGCGTATTAACTCAGTGGAATGGCTTTGCGATCGCATTGCGTCATGAGAACTGCAGAGAAAGGCCTTGAAGTTATCGGGCTTGAGCCACACGAGAATACAAATTAAGGTTCGACTTGAAGTTTGCTTTCCTTAGTGAAGGGAAAAGAATAGGCGTTACAATAGATACTAAGCTATTGGCATCAATAAATGAAACTGGAATAAATATACCTAAATAAATTAATATAAATGAAATATCGGATTCGTTTGGAGTTCAGCCTTGATTGTCTTTTACGCTACGAAAAGGAATAAAATAGCGCGAAATTTAGATGCAAAGAAAAATCGCATGTAAAATAATATTATTATCAGTTAATCTGTAAACCAGTTTAAAATTGCATAGAGAGGCGAGTGATTAATTAGAAATCTGATCAATTTAAATAATCGTAAAAAATCCATTAACCTTAGCTCAGAGAATCGTAGCACAGCTTTAAACAGAGAATTACATTTTATATATTTACATTTTAAGTTTTCGTTGATTGCTGTAAAGATCTAAAATTCCCGATTCGCAATTGCGTCTGACTTCCTTGTGGGAGCCACTCCCAAATATTGCTGCAGTTTATTGTGTTTATTTGTGTTCATAAAGCTGTTGATTCACGGTGCATTTCGTATCATCCTAATACCTTTTTAATCACAAAGCCACAGAGACACTCTAGTGCTTGACATCCTTTTTCAATAATTGATTCGAGGGCCAAAGTATTTTCTGTATTTTCTGGGTTTCGAAGTATGTCAAGTATGTCTGGCACGCGATTGTCGCTTGCCTTTTGGCCTGAGCTCAAACAAATGCAATAAACTTTATTAAATGTACAAGAACAGCAATTGGGAGTGGGTCCTACAGCACGTCTCGGAGGATTAAAGCAGCGAGAGAGAGAGAGAGAGAAAGCGAAAGAGAGAGAGAGAGAGAGAGCATGTCAATAGAGGCAAAATAAAACAATTAAATTTCCGTTGACCAGCTAACCAAAGAGCCTTAATAGCCTAACAATATACCTTAACATGCGCACACACATGAAAATACACACACACACACACACACACACACACATACATACATACATATGGATCCTTTTAATTTCCTGCTGTTATTTTTATGCACATAGCGCAAACGCCGCGTGATTTCCATTCGCTTACATGTTGACAGGGTATGCGTGGGCTGTCACAGCTTGTATGTATGTATGGGTGTGGGAGTATGTCTGTGCGTGTGTGTGTGAGTGCTGTGCACATGTGGCATATTCCCATAGACAACGCACAACTGCGCCATGTGTCACAGTGCCTGCGCC